ACGCTCCGCAGCACACCTCCTCATGAACTTGAACAAAGCAGACTCCACTGGTCCCACTGTTATCACGACACCTGCCCTTTTCACGAGACTGAGATCAAGTTCGGCAACAGATACCAGCGACCGTACTATATGCCTGCTGACGATTCCAAAGACACCAGCTTCGACACCATAGAAGGAGCAGAAGAGATGATCAATGAAGATAAATCGACCCAACCTCCTCATGCCCTTAATCCTGTTCCAACACAATACCAAGATCTTGAAGAACTCGAACAAGCAGCAGCCTACGTGGATGCAATATCCTATTTACAACCCCCACAGTCAGCCCCTCAATCCTCTCCTCCCATAATCGATTCACGACAACTATATGGTGGACCCTTATGAGTATACAACAATGAAACCATTGTCTCGGTCCTACCCCCTACTATTCCCGTGCATCGGCATCAACTCTACGAAGCCTTTGAGGAAGAGGAAGCCCCTATCGAACCAACAAGAGGATCCCTAAGCGAGGATGAACGAGATGTTAGATCGACTACAGAAGAATTGACCTCCTCTTTCCGCAGCCAAATAATAGCAGGATACCGCTATGACCCGATTTACTTCAAAGCCATGGATAGCTCCAGGCATGGAGACCTCACCTACTACAACATATCAAATGGAATGGTCTATACCAGTACCCGTTATGGTGAACACTGCCTTTACATACCAAAAGGCCATATGTTCAATGGAATGACTATTAGAGAATATGTTATTACCGAAATCCACAACAAACGACACCATAGTGCAGATCGCAACCTCCAATATGCCTCAGAATATGTTTACTGGCCTGAAATGCGAAAGGACTTCCGCAAATTTGTCAAACAATGTGAACTCTGCCAGGCAAATAAGGAGCGAACACAACTACCTGAAGGGAAAGCACAGACCCTCCAACTACCATGTGAAATATTCGAATCATATGCTATCGATTTCGCAGGACCATTCAATAAATCCGGTGGATTTGACACCATCTTGGTAGCTGTGGACCGATTTTCTGGATATACCTGGCTCATTCCAATGAAAGTTACCGATTCCTTCAAAGACACCTGGAATAACCTCCAACGATACCTGTTTACCCCCCATGGATACCCCTTATCCATTGTCAGTGATGCTGATCCCCGCTTTACCACCAGATTCTGGAAGCAAACCTTAACCTCCCTCGGAATAAACCACATTATGGCTGCCCCTGGACACCATGAGACTAATGGCCAGGCAGAACGAAAGATCCGTGAAGTTAAGACTGGAATTAGGAACATGATCAATGAACGACAAACCAACTGGGAACCAGCCCTTGTTGAGCTCGCTGCATATATCAATGCCGGATTTTCAGATACCTTGGGAATGTCACCATACAAGGCAGTCTTTGGCCGTGAATACCCCCTCCTACCTACAACACTATTTAAGAACTCCTCAGTCCCTGCCTCTGACGACCATCTAAACCGCCACCAAGCAATTCGGAACGATGCCTTCCAAGCTGTTAAGGCTGCCCGATTCCGAATCACCACTACTGCCCAGAAATGACGACGCAAACATATCCCCATCTCACCAAGAGACATGCTCATGGTAGACGGTAACATGTTCATTACCAATGTTGGACGCAGCAAGAAACTGCAACCCCGATGGCGTGGACCCTTCAAAGTCATATCCTTTGACGAGCATACAGAGAACTACACTGTCCAGATGGATGGACGCATGTACCACTGCAATACTGCAGTCTTTCACGCCTCTGCTGTCAAACGGTTCCACCCAAATGACGACTCCAAGTTCCCTGGAAGAGCCCACTCTCGACCCGCACCTATCATCATTGAAAAGAAAGATGAATGGGAAGTTGAAGAAATCCGAGACCACCGCCTTTGGCATGGAAATGATCAGTTCCTAGTCAAGTGAAAAGGATATCCAACGAGCGAAAACAGTTGGGAACCACTAGAGGGACTAGAGCATGCTATGGATATGGTGAACGAATGGTGGAAAGACAACATGCCAAACGAATCCCTCCCCCCAACAATCAATTATATCAACATGTGCTGGACACCTACAATGCCAGAAACTGAGCGATGGCACGCAGAACTCGAAGCTAGAGATGGATTTTGGGCACCATACTTTGAGTTGGAGTTCGAAAGCAGCGATGAGGAAAATCAAGCTATGGAGCAGGCCCTCGACAACTTTATCTAGTCACCAATCACCATCCGAATACCATAACGATGTCAAACTATGTGGAGCTCAATGTGAGGCTGCGACAACAGATTGTTGGACTGTTGTTGAACCGCGATGCTATCCAACTTGAAGACTATTTTGAAATCCTCTGGATTGACTACTGTCCTGATTGTGATCATGCTTGGGTTGATGTACAGCACGAATCTGGTATTTGTGACTACTGTGATTTAGATTTCTTCGAGTCTAAGTATTTCCTTAGAGTTTCCTCCTGCCCCTGGTATGACACTTACGATGAAGAGTTTTTAGCGGAAACTGAAGTCTTAAGTTTCTCAGACTCCGCTTTTGATGATTATTAGGTTTTGTTTGTTTAAACAGTTGTTTTGTTTTGGGGAATGTAACCGGTAGGGGTACTCGGTTATTGGTTTTGTTTTATGTTTTGTTTTAAGTATCGCTTTGATACTTGGGTTGTTTTAAGTATCGTTTGATACTTGGTTTTGTTTTATGTTTTGTTTTAAGTATCGCTTTGATACTTGGTTTTGTTTTATGTTTTGTTTCAAGTATCGCTTTGATACTTGGTTTGTTTTAAGTATCGTTTGATACTTGGTTTTGTTTTATGCTTTGTTTTAAGTATCGCTTTAATACTTAAAGAAGTTTTACAAAAGTGTATCGCTTGATACCTTTGATTAGTTTCGTTCATGCTAGACATGAACAGATTTGTGTATTTAAAGACCACCTGTTTCTACAATAGAAAAGGTAGACTTCGACAGACAGTATTTCAATATACTTGGTTGAACGGTTACTTCTTTGTTCCTCAGTACACCCTCGAAGCCTCCTTTAGTTCTCAGCTCTCGCCTCCTCTCCAGAAGAGCAGGCCACCTGCCAACTATCGTACCTTTACCGATAACGTGATTAGCACCTTGCGAACACGTTACAGGCCCCACTGACCATTTCGCTCTGTTACCACCTCTATGTGTTTCCTTTGTTTATGGGTTTTTGTTTTTGGGGGACAGGCTGCGGGTACAGGTCCTCCTCACCATTATGCTCTTTGGAGGCCCTTGGCAAAGTGGGTTCATAGGATCGACGGCCTGGCATGCGGATGCGAGAGGTGGATATGTTGGTCACCTCCTCTCTGCCATCGTGTCGCCTGTAGTTTATATTTGTTTTGTTTTTGTTGGTTTTCTACTATGGTTTAGGTGTTGCAGGACGGTGTTTAGACCGAGTGGTAGTAATTTTATGTTTGTTGGTCGAGGAACCTGGTTGGGTTGGTCTTTTGCTCGGCTTTGGCTACGCTTAGTGCTGGTTGGCTTCATACCAGAGGGGCTATGGACTTGGACCGGGGTGGGCGCTGGGTCGTTTGATAGTCTTGTAATTAGTTTCCGTGAGGGCATGACTCGGGGATGGCAGGTGCGTGACCGCAGACCTAGTTAGCTTAGGATTAGTGGTATACTGGTTAGCAGTATCCTTGGGCCGGCTGGGGCTCGTCATATGCCAGTGTTGGCGGTACGAGTTTAAATAAAATTAGATTGACTTCTAAGTACTTTTCCTACTTATTACTTTAATGAATATAAAACATCTTTACGATCTTTCTTTTTATTGCAACATTATTGTTACGCCGAGGAAAGTTCTTCATGAAGATGAGTTAGAGAAAGCTTACGATAGGCATTCCTGATAGAAAACAGAGGTCTTATACTATCAGTAATGTAGGTAGAGGCCCAGAGCTATCGTTAGACAAAGAAGAGGAGAAGAAGAAAAAGAGAAGTATTGTTCCCCATCGCCACGACCTAACCATCCAAGGAGGGATCGTTACTGGAGGACTGAATTTAGTTCAATTTGTGAATGAAATAATGGTCCCCCATCTCTTACCACTCTATGAGTGTATGGAAGGTCTTGACAATGGTGTTCAGATCATTCAGGACGGTGCAAGTTATCGTACCTTACAGTATACTAGGGAGTTTGGCTTTCTTAATGGGATAAAAAGGATGGATTGGCCTCCACACTCCCCAGACATGAATCCCATTGAGAATGTCTGGACAGTATGGAAAGCCAAGTTCAGGAGGGCTATGAGGGATCCCAATAAACGTTTCTATGGATGGCAAGAGATCATCAAGGTTGTCCAAGGGCTGTGGGAGGATTTACCATGGTGATGGATGTTAAAATGGATTAACAAAATGCCGAACCGAATCTCAGCGTTGGCATGGTCTAGAGGACGCATTACACGATAGTAGTCTATGCAGATTGTACTTTACTTTTCTACTATACTTGTTTTATTTCTCTCACTATTATGACCCCGGCGACACCAGGCGGTGTATATAGGCTCGGGCATATGTCGAGGTGTGCCAAGACGGTCGTGTCCACAACCTTTTTTCACGCGACTGTTACTAGTGCGTTGTACTGTACCATGAATTCATGATATACCCGAGTAGATGATCAACCGTTGGTAGGGGCTGGTGGGGGGGTACTTTGGAAGTTTAAGCGGGGGTTCAGAGTGAGGGCAGAGTTGACACCCGCTCGCAGCTATGATATAGTGCTCTATCCTTATATCATTCATAACTAGTGTGGTGTCACACCAACACCACAGCATAAAGTTTCTCTTATCATAACCCCCTCGTAGGAAGCGTGTGAAGGGGGTAAAGCAAGGGGGATATTCGAACAGCAATCGTCTCATAAAAAAGCAACGGGAGCAAGAGCTCTCAGCTCTATTTCCGAGTGACATTAGGTGACGATAAGACCTATGATTAATCCTGAGGTGCAGATCCAATCTCACAACACCTCTCTCACCACGTCAACAGCAACAACAGTAACAAAAATTGAAAATGGACCTCAACTTCGCCCTTAGTCCAGCCTCCGCCCAAAAACTCCACGAATCACTTGTTGCCCTCTCAAAGTTCAGCGAGTACGTTTCCCTCGAGGCCCGCCGCAATAGACTAACACTTTCCTCCCTCAACTCTTCCAAATCCGCTTACGCTGCTGTGACCCTCGCCGGGAACAAGTTCTTCGAAACGTACAATTTCCCCGCGCCCTCGCCCTCGCAGGATAACCGGTTTACATGCCGCTTCTATGCTAAAGCCCTGCTATCTGCTTTTCGACAGCGCTACTTCGACAGTAAATCCGGTGACACGGCCATCGAGAGATGCGAGGTGCGGTTCATGGAGAAGGGGGAGTGTAGGATGCTTGTGCGCTTGCTGTGCAAGAATCGGGTGCTGAAGACGTATCGTCTTACTTATGAAGAGGTGGACGTCATGCATGCCGTGTTTGATAAGGATGCCGCGAGGAATATGTGGATTGTCAAGGGGAGGTTGTTGAGGGAGTTTATGGAGCATTTCGGTCCAAAGGCGGAGCAGCTGGATATTTCCAGTGAGAATCGGCGCGCCGCCTTTACGAGCTTTACCGAGAAATTGGTTGATGGGAAAGGTTTTTACACTCTGCGCATGTATGGGGTGGCTCGGCTGATGGAACTAGAGATACTGAAGCAGCCGTTGCAAACCTCTGTATCCTTCGATACGGCTGATTTCGATACCTTCGGCGCCGAGGATGGGGTGCATGTTGCCGTTAGTCTAAAAGATTTTAAGGCTATTGTCGCCCACGCAGATTCACTTCATGCCTCGGTGACGGCTTATTACAGCGATGCCGGTAATCCGTTACAAGTCACATACGAACAGGAAGGAATGAATTGTGAATTCACACTCATGACATTGGGGGATAATAGGGCCTCCCAGGCATTTGCTACAGCTAGGGTTGAGCATCAACCACCTGCCCCTCCCCTTCCACCAACGGCTATTCCTCCGCAATCACGGGCAGATACTCCTTCCCAACCTCGAGGTATGATGGACGCTCCAGGGGGTCTTGGGTCTCAATCTGCGGGTAGTTTCCGTTCACAGCGCACGACAGAAGACAGAGTAATACAGCCAGTAGAAGAGCACCAACCCAGCGGATCGCTATACCGTTCTCGACTGAATGTTTCCGGGACGAGTTCCAGGCCTGGTTCGGCATTCACTCAGCAGCAGGAGCCGGAACTCCCGCCAGTTCCGGCTAGTGCTGTGCCTCCTGAAGGCTTATTTCTACCATATTCAAGTAGTGATGAGGAGAGTGACGATGATCTTGGGAAGATTGAATGGGACGAACCGTTCCTTAGATGGGATACCAATTTGAACAGCGACGACCAGCCAAGGCCGGTGGTCAGAAATCAGTCACCTCCGCCGCCCCCACCACGTGTTCCACCACCGGCAGTATCGCGGAAGAGGGCCCTCGAACCAAGTGGTGACACGACGCAGAGCGAGGAGGATGAGGAAGAGGAGGAAATGAATGCGAAGACAGTCATAGAAGCAGTTGGGCCCACGCAGGATGTTTCTCAGGCCAGGGGGCTCTTTGACTAGGGTGTAGATATGTATGATATTAACGAGCTATTCGCAGTAGGTCATAATGGCAACTATCATAAGTGTATAATACGGCTTATCGACGGTGGGAATCCTCCGAAATGAACGAATGAATGAAGGGCGCCAGACGCTTCTAATAACCCATATATACACGAGTGTGTATGTACCATCACCTCACTCAGTCCTCAGCATACTCGAGTACCCTCAACCCACCCCAGACTCGCTGGATGTTTAAGGGTATCACGTCATTCACTACCACCTCCTTCAAAGTAACATTCCGGTAAAGTTCGATAGGAATGTCCCCGATAAACTCCAGGTCTCCAAATCCGCCGACCCAGTAGACCCTCTCAACTCGAAAGTCACCCACCAACTCTCGTGAATCGGATTCCCGGGCGCCCACCACTTTGCGTCAGGATGCACCTTTGTAAAGCACGCCCCTGACCCGCCAGCCTCGTCGCTGTTGGGGGGAATGGGTGGACTCAAGCGACCCATCAGCGAAACACGGTGGTGCGCAGCCGGTGAATAGAATTCGCTGGAAGGGGAGCGCTCGCGGAGGGTTAGTGAGATTGGGGCACCATTTCTGGAGTTTCTGAAGGATGTGGCGATTTTTATTGCTAGGAGGGTGGGGTTGTTTGAGCTGGGCTGGGTATTAGGTGGTCTGTGAATTGCCGGTACTGGTGTGAGTGAAGGGTGGCCTAGATTATACCGATCAGCATAGTAGTCCATCATCCCGATAGGATGACCACCAAGTCCGCGTGCATCCGAGCTTGGGAAAATGGTGCTCAGCGTGCCGATCTTCTCGGAGCGAGGCAGCTCACGAGCTTGCACTGCGGCAACTTGAGCAGTAGGAACTTTGGCAGTGTCTTCGGATAGATGTGCTATGGCCAGTGGGAGGGCGGGGAGGAAGTGTTGGAATGGGAAATACATGTTGGGCTCGGTTTGCCGTAGTTGTTATTGTCGGGTTGGTTGCGGCTCCTACGGTAGTGTTAGCGAATGAGCTTGAGTTACTCGTTGGGAGATTAGATTCTTTGATAATATTGGTGCAACCGATGGGTCTTTGATTTAGATCAGATAAGAGAATTTCCAACGAAAAGATTCATTCTATGACAGACCGAGAATACTCCTGGAAAAAGTTCTACAACCAGACAATCGCGATTACGGCCACCCGCACAATGCTCAATTGCCGCATATGCTGGCGACGAAATCTCACTGCATTAATACCTACACATGTCCAGCGGCGAACGGCATATGCCTCCGCAGCGCGTGTCAAAGAACGAAGATTTAACGACCGCAATCCTGGACTCTATAGGGACCCACACAAATTGGCGGATGCGGTGAAAAAGCAGTTGATTCAAGGGGACGATAACAAAGCATTACAACTGGCCCGAGAAGGGAGTCGGAGGTTCAATAGTGTGGTTAGTTGGAATCACATTATCAGGTACAACATGGAGCGGGGGCGCTTAAGGATTGCCTTCAAGGCCTATAATGATGTATGTCCATCTATACGAGCTGTGCCGGTGGAATGGTTTGGTGGGAGCTAATGTTTTTGGCTTAGATGAAAAAAATGTCGATATCCCCCGACTCCTATACCTTCACAATTATGCTGAACGCCTTGGCAGAGCATCCGACTTCGCGGTCGGCACATGAGAGAGCGTTGCAGTTGTACCATTCCATGAGCAATCCAAATTCGCCGGTTGAACCGCAGATAGTACACACCAACGCTGTGTTGAAAGTGTGCGCGAGATGTAGGGACGTCGATTCGATATGGACCATCGTTTCAACCTTACCCCTCAGCGGACTCAACGCACCGAATGCAATCACGTACACTACGCTGCTGAATGGGATTCAAGGTACACACGAGGTGGAAGATGGCCGGAGAGTCTGGGCGGGGGTTCTGTCCCGGTGGGGTGCCGGGAAGCTGTGGGTTGATGAGGAATTGGCCTGCACAATGGGACGGGTGCTCTTATCGGGAACGAAACTAGAGCACTGGAAGGAAGTCTTTAAGATCATCGAACAGGTCTTCGGCATCAAGGATCCCATTTCCGAAGAACAGGAGGATGTAAACCCCGAGGACCGGTTATATGTCGAGGGAACAACAAAGCCCATCAACGAGATCAAAGAGCTTCAGCAGACACCAATCGGGGGAGATCCAAATGTGCGAGTCCCCTACGTCCCGCATCCCCTCCGTGGACAAACGACGCGTGAAAATCCCAGCTCCGGGTCCAACTCCCCCGCTACACGACCAATGCCCGGTAACAATGTCCTCAGCTTGGCTATCAAGACATGTACACTGCTATCAGATAAGGAGCTAGCCAGGTACTACTGGAAAACCCTGACAGCGCCTCCGTACTCCGTGCGACCGGACTTGGGAAGCTTCCACGACCTTCTTCGCCTACTGCGAGAGTCACGCTCGGGCCCGGAAGCCCTGGATGTCCTCCAGGCCATGTTATCCCACCGCGACACAACCCCGACAGCCAAGTCTTTCTTCATCGCCATGTCTTGCTGCAAGCGCCAAGGACGCGGTCCCAGCTTCCCAACAGCTGAAAAGATGCTCGCACTGATGGACGAACACCGCGTGCGCATCGATGTCAAGATTGTGACCATGTTCCTCCAGTGCGCTGTCAAGACCGGTATCCTGTCATACTGGAAATCGGCGCTGAAGACCGCAGAGGATATATTCGACTTGCGGGGTGAGTTGGATAAGCTCGTGAGCCTGAAAGCCGATGGCGACCTGCTTGAGACTCACGTGGAGCTGGCGAAGTGGATGCATGGGACTATCGACCAGTTGCTGGATAACCCCGATGTTACATGGGGACACGGCGAGAGAGCCGTGTTTGAGCAGAGGAAGGGGAAGTTCGCGAGGCTCATTGAGAAGTTTGGATGGATTGCGGGTGGCATGAAGGGTGGTGGGAGGAATTGGAAGGCCAAGGTGATTAGTGAGAATGCATGATTGTGAAGGGGTGAATGTTTTATTTCCTTCTACATTAGGGTTTCTTGATGCATTCCTATAGGCGGGATTAAAGTCCGGATTTTAGGGGATGTTAATGTTAGATAGGCTGGGGGACTCTCATGTGACATGCTCGCCATCGCTATAGGGCGGGTTGTCCACGACGTGTGAGATACTATAAATTGGAATATGCTGTTGAGAGTTAGGTGAGATTTCGCCAGGAGCGCTAGCTGCAACATATAGGTAGCCAAGCGGAACCATACAGCCACTTCTCGAGATAGAGAAAGAGTCCGGGCCAGCAACCTACAAAATCTATCAATGCTCAAGCTAAGGGGGTTGTCAGCGTAACTCAACGCTCAATACTCTCGTTGGTCCAGTGACTCCTTTCAGCGAGTGAGAACCGGTGCGGATAGGGGCCACGGGTTTACTTACGTGAAAGGAGTGAGGTCTGCTATCGCCTATCGCTGATAATGTCATGCCACTTGAAAGAATCGGTCAGGGTATCATATGATACCTGCCAGCTTTTTAGATGAGATATGCAGATATGCGGCTAGGAGATATACGATTATGGGCCAGGCCATATACTATTGTAGTTTGCGGCGATCAGACACTTAGCAGAGGGTTGTTTCACACCTTACGCTGGTAGGCATGGAGTATTTCTTTTATGGTTTTGTTGACTCATTGTGCTATAGGGCATTAGGTATCAGGTACTTGGTTCCATGGTTTCGCTCAAGGGAACACGTTCTTTATACTGTTGGAAAGCTGGCGTCGAGTAGGTCCAGGACGCGAAATGTCAGATCGTGTGTCAGAGTATTCCGGATGAAATCTGACATCAAAGTCAATGTATAGTCAAAATCTCGCCAGAAATAACCACTTTCATAACAGCCTGTATATTCACCAATATCAATGTCTGGAACATGTTCTTTATACTGTTGGAGAGCTGGCATGGAGTAGGTTTAGGATGCAAAATGTCAGCCTGTGTGTCCTCGTATTCAGGACAAAATCTAGCGTCAAAGTCAGTACTTTGCCAGAATACTAAACAGCCTCTAGCTCTACAGATAATGGTGCGAGAAAGACGCTGTTTACACCATTGGAAAGCTGTGGTCGAGTAAATCCGGAATACAAAGTATCAACCTGTGCATCCAGGTATTCAGGACGGAATCTGGCGTCAAAGTCAGCACTTTGCCAGGATACAAAATAGCCGGCAACACCTTGGAAACTCATAGTAGGAGGATATTCTTTGATGCAATGGAAAGTCAAAATTGAGTAGAATGTTGTCATAAATTATTAGCTTTGATGGTATAGGGACTGATGAGCAATAGTAGTTAACAGATGTGTTTTTGATGTTCTGACCATGATGATATTGTGTTATTGTCCAGATGTTAAATGCATTGCAGTCTTAGAGAAACTTAACAAAACACCCAAGTCACCACCCATCCTAACAATCAAAACTACCACTCACTTTTACATTCTTCATTTTGGCCATTCAGCCAAGGTTGGAGTTGCCTTCTCTATTTCCAAGACAGAGCTTATCCACTGTTGCATGCTGAGAACTGTGACATACTCTGCAGGCTATTCATTACTCTTGATAGTATCCTCTTTCATATCTCTGAAGTCCTACTGTAGCATAGCTATTAGTTCACCTCTACCCTGGAATCTACTACTCATACTTCTCAAACAACTAGGACTAGTTTAAGGGGCTTTCAGCATAGTCAGAAGCCTGTCCCCTCCTAACATGAAAACTCCTGCCAACATAGTATGATGAATTGCTTTGAGCTTGCTACTTTTAATTCTTACTTATGGGGTGGATCCTTTCACCCTCACCCTTACTATAATTGATAAGCTGTCCACATAGTATAACAGAGTTCTTAGATGGGTGACCAACTGCTTTCCCTAAACCACTACTACTATCTGGGCCTGTAAAGTCTGTCTTCCTCCTATGGTCAATATTCTGCTACAGAAGAGAGGAATGAAATTCATATATCTTGCATACACCTCTCTGCTCATCAATCCAGCAGCTGAATGCCAACAGTCAGACTTTTTCCTGTTGGAGAAAAGGGCTTTAAAGATAGTCATGAGGAGTTCTTTTAGCTATAAGCCTGTAAACCATGTTCTACTCAGCTGGGACAGATATTATTCCTTTCATCCAGAGAGACGCCACCTTCAACTTAACAAATTCTGCAACTTTCTCCTTCCAATCATGAGCAAGGTTGGCATTTTTCTACTGGCATACTCATATCTACTTTCAAGCGTACTACCAAATCTGAATCTTTACCTACCACTAACTTATACCTCCTTGAAGACCAGGCTTAGAAGTTACTTCATAATTGACTAGGTACTATATGCCTCTCCTCCTCACTACTACAAGTACCTAATAACCACTAGACCTCATATTTTTATGGGTTTGGACAGGTTTACAATAGGACAGATATACTAATATTAGCAAAAAAAAAAAACACTGTGTTAGATGCATCAGCTGTACATCCTGACATAAATATTCAGTTACTTATATCCTGTGTATCCTGAGTGGCCTGAATGTCTGGTTGTGTCATAGATATTCTGAACTTCTGGTTGCATCCAACCTGTCTGGATTTCATCCTAAGTGAGGATGTACTAATTTTCACCTCCTAATCTGGCATGGTCAACCTTGATTCTTACTGATGTCTTAACACAAGAGGGCGGAGAGTCCGGACACAGATTATAACACTAAGCCACATATCAGCAATCAGTATCTCTACTAGACAATAGCTGTCACGAACGTGGCTTGGCATGTAAAAGGTTTTCACGTGATACATGGTTATGAGTCACAGGTATGTTATTGTTTCACACATATGACTCATTCGAGTCATATGATTTGTTATGTGTGGGATTTGTGATGCTTTCGCAGATGGCTCAAATATGAGTCATGGGACGTGCGCCTGGCGAGTATGCCTTGCGAGTGTGCCTTGCAGGTAAGCCTTGCGCATATGATTTATGTTTC